TATATTATATGTGTATAACATGGTATATGTTGTTGTATGACGTTATATGTGTATATACATGTATATTGTGTATAACGTTATATTGATATACATATATATTGAGAGAGGAGTTTATATAGTAGAACTCAGCAGAAACTGGTTATCCCAGATTTTTTTTTTTTTTAAAGACACAGGATCTTGCTCTGTCACCAGGCTGGAGCACAGTGGCATGACCATAGCCTCACTGCAGTCTTGAACTTCTGGCCTCAAGCAGTCCTGGCCTCAAACAGTGCTCCCACCTCAGCCTCCCAAAGTGCTGGGAATTATAGGTATGAGCCACCATGCCTGGCCATGGTTAATCCAGATCTTCGTGAACTAACATGGCTTCCTTCCCCAACTAGAGACTGTTATCTACTTGAATACTTCAATCTGAGCTCTTTCTCTTTCATTCTTGTCATGATGAAAGAGTCAGGAGACTTCTGGATCTTTTTTTCTTTCTTTTTTTTTTTTTTTTTTTTGAGACGGAGTCTCGTGTCCAGCTAGGTTTTTGTATTTTTTAGTAGCGACAGGGTTTCACCGGGTTAGCCAGGATGGTCTCGATCTCCTGACTTCGTGATCCGCCCGTCTCGGCCTCCCAAAGTGCTGGGATTACAGGCTTGAGCCACCGCGCCCGGCCAACTTCTGGATTCTTAAAATACAGAATGAAAAAGTCAAACAGGAGCATCATTTCAAGAAATCTTGTCAAATAGTTTTAGTTTTTAGGTGCTTCTTTTGAAAGTGAAGGTTTTCCCCCACAAATTATTTTAACTTCTACCATCTATTAATTATTCCAAGAAACCTTCTTGAAACATTGGCAGAAATGGGAGCAGGGACGGAAGAATAAGCCCAAGCCTTGCTGCCCGAGACAGGATGGCTCAAGGATCACATACAACTGTGGTATTAGGGCTCCAGCTCGTGACTCCAGGTGTGTCTGTACATCAGAATGGGATACATTGGCGTTCCTGAAGTCATGAGAGCAGTCAACACTTACAGAGTACATGCCCTGTGCCAGGCACCATGCTAAGCTCCTCATGCACATTAGCTCATTTAATTCTCACAGTAATCTTATGTACTTTTGTTTCCATGTTTTTACAGAAGGAGCTGGAGCCAAAAGAGATTAGCTTGACAAAGGTTACACAGTGGACAGATAGGATTCAAAACCCAGGTAGTCCGATTCCAGAGCTTACACTCTATATTTGCAACCTATATTTTCCTTTCTTCAATGTTATCCAAAGATACGTCTCTTCAGTTTAGTTTCAGCAGACTCAACAAACTCACTTGGGGCCATGAGACAGACCACACTGCATGGTTGGGTAGCTCAGTGGAAGAAACTGAGTTCCCAGGCCTCCACAAGGCACTCTTATGGGTCACTTGACTGTGAGAATCGTTAGTAGTGCTGCAGACAGGAATACCGACTGAATTTTTGTTTTCAATTGCAGGAAGCCAGCAGGCTGTGAATTCAAGAAAAACTAAAAGCCATTTCCAATTAGATCTTCTTGAGAGCCAGTGTTCCTTTGGATCCTTTGTTTCCTTGAGGTCTGACCAAGGCATCACCCTCAGGAGCCCACAGAGGCACAACGCCAGGACTCCTCCGCCACTAGCCCGCGGCCCCAGTGAATCTACCCTAAAAGAACTCCCAAGTCCCAGAAATCTGGATCTTCCTGGTTTGCGGGACGTCCCTGCCTGGGAGAGCACCCAGCACCCTTATCCTGTCTCGGGGGAAAGCTGTTGGGCGAACAACCATTTAGTAATGCACCAGAGGGGCCAGTCAAAGGACCGACCACATAGGGCCTGGGAGAAATTCAACAAGAGGGCGGACACGCAGATGCCGCGGACCAGCCCTCGGGTACAAAGGCACTTCCGGTGTCGCGTGTGCGCCAAGAGCTTCCGCAGGAAGCTGTGTCTTCTGAGCCATCTGGCGGCCCACGCGGCGAGGGTTCCCTTCCAGAGCGCTGACGGTGAAATGTGCTTCCGACATGAGCAGGCCCATCCCAGCCACCGCCTCCCGCACCAGGGGGAGAAGCCTGCCCAGTGTACCCCGTGCGGCATGCGCTCCCTCCCGGTGGACAGCACGCAGGCTCGCCGGTGCCAGCAGAGCCGGGAGGGGCCGGCCTCTTGGAGAGAAAGCCGCGGGGCCTCCAGCAGTGTGCACTCGGGAGAGAAGGCAGGCTCGCGCCTGGCGCAAAAGGAGAGCGGCCACCAGCAGGGGGACACGGAGGCTCAGCAGCACCTCGCACCGGCGCCCTGCTCTTGCTCGGAGTGTGGGGAGCGCTCCCCTACGAGCACCCTCGCCTGCCACTGCAGGGCGCGTACTGTAGAAAAGCCCTTCCAGTGTCCCCATTGCAACAAGCGTTTCTGCCTGCGCCGCCTGCTGCAGGTCCACCAGCACGCGCACGGTGGGGAGAGACCGTTCTCCTGCAGGAAATGTGGCAAGGGCTTCGCCAAGCAGTGTAAACTCACGGAGCACATTCGAGTCCACAGCGGAGAGAAGCCTTTCTGGTGTGCCAAGTGTGGCAGGAACTTCCGTCAGAGGGGACAGCTGCTGCGGCACCAGCGGCTGCACACGGACGAGAAGCCCTTTCAGTGCCCAGAGTGTGGGCTGAGCTTCCGCCTGGAGAGCATGCTGAGAGCCCACCGGCTCCGGCACGGCGGGGAGAGGCCGTTCGCCTGTAGCGAGTGTGGCAGAGGCTTCACCCACCAGTGCAAGCTCCGTGAGCACCTGAGGGTGCACAGCGGGGAGAGGCCTTTCCAGTGCCTGGAGTGCGACAAGCGCTTCCGCCTGAAGGGCATCCTGAAGGCCCACCAGCACACGCACAGCAAGGAGAGGCCGTTCTCGTGTGGGGAGTGTGGTAAGGGCTTCACCAGACAGTCCAAGCTCACGGAGCACTTGCGCGTGCACAGCGGGGAGAGACCCTTCCAGTGCCCAGAGTGCAACAGGAGCTTCCGCCTGAAGGGGCAGCTGCTCAGCCACCAGCGCCTGCACACGGGAGAGAGGCCCTTCCAGTGTCCGGAGTGTGACAAGCGCTATCGCGTGAAGGCCGACATGAAGGCCCACCAGCTGCTGCACAGCGGGGAGATGCCTTTCTCCTGTGAGTGCGGCAAGGGCTTTGTGAAACACTCGAAGCTCATCGAGCACATCAGGACGCACACGGGAGAGAAGCCTTTTCAGTGTCCCAAGTGTGACAAGAGTTTCCGCCTGAAGGCGCAGTTGCTCAGCCATCAGGGCCTGCACACAGGGGAGAGGCCTTTCCACTGCCCTGACTGTGGCAAGAACTTCCGGGAAAGGGGACACATGCTGAGGCACCAGCGCATCCACAGGCCCGAGAGGCCCTTTGCGTGTGGCGACTGTGGGAAGGGCTTCATTTATAAGTCTAAGCTTGCAGAGCACATCAGAGTACACACAAAATCCTGTCCTGCTCCAAATGAACTGGACATTAAGAAAAGGCTCAGCCAACTGTTTGCAATGATAGAGGCCGACTGGAGTTGAGGCAGAGTGGGACATCCAAAGCGTTGAGCAGGAGTGGTATTGCCCGGGAATCCACCCCAACAGTAGCCAGACCTGCTGGTAGACGGGTTTTAGGAGCAGGTGTCCTTCTTTGAGCAAGAGTGTCATACAAGTTAGGAATATGAGGAACCACAAAGGATTTTCTCTTCGGAAACATTACCAATTATATTTCTTTTTTTTTTCCAAGACGGAGTCTTGCTCTGTCACCCAGACTGGAGTGCAGTGGCGTGATCTCGGCTATATTGGAAAAGACAGCATTATAAAACAAGGACATAATAATATGAAAAGCACGGCATCTGCAAACAAAAAGAATTTCTACGAGGTTATATGTGATTGCTAAAAAATTTTTAAGAAAAAGTGCACACAGAAATCCAGATAGAATGTGATTACCTTTTTGTATTTATATAAAAATATATCTGTGTAATTACAAAGAAGTTCTGACTTTTTTTTATTTTTATTTTTATTTATTTTTTTTTGAGACAGAGTCTGGCTCTGTTGCCCAGGCTGGAGTGCAGTGGCCAGATCTCAGCTCACTGCAAGTTCTGCCTTCCGGGTTTACGCCATTCTCCTGCCTCAGCCTCCCAAGTAGCTGGGACTACAGGCTCCCGCCACCTCGCCGGGCTAGTTTTTTGTGTTTTTTAGTGGAGACAGGGTTTCACCGTGTTAGCCAGGATGGTCTGGATCTCCTGACCTTGTGATCCGCCCGTCTCGGCCTCCCAAAGTGCTGGGATTACAGGCTTGAGCCACCGTCCCCGGCCTAAAGAGCCACCGGCTCCGGCACGGCGGGGAGAGGCGTTCTCCTGTAGCGGAGTGTGGCAGAGGTTTCACCCACAGTGCAGCTCCGTGAGCCTGAGGGTGCACAGCGGGAGAGGCCTTTCCAGTGCCTGGAGGTGCGACAAGCGCTTCCGCCGAAGGCATCCTGAAGGGCCCACAGCACACGCACAGGCAAGGAGACGGCCGTTCTCGTGTGGGGAGTGTGGTAAGGCTTCACCAGACAGTCCAAGCTCACGGAGCACTTGCGCGTGCACAGCGGGAGAGACCCTTCAGTGCCAGAGTGCAACAAGGAGCTTCCGCCTGAAGGGGAGCCTGCTCAGCCCACCAGCGGCCTGCACACGGGAGAGAGGGCCCTTCCAGTGTCCGGAGTGTGACAAGCGCTATCGCGTGAAGGGCCGACATGAAGGCCCACCAGCTGCTGCACAGCGGGAGATGCCTTTCCTCCTGAGTGCCGGCAAGGGCTTTGTGAAACACTCGAAGCTCATCGAGCACATCAGGACGCACACGGGAGGAAGCCTTTTCAGTGTCCAAGTGTGACAAGAGTTTCGTGAAGGCGCGTTGCTCAGCATCAGGGCTGCACACAGGGGAGAGGCCTTTCCACTGCCTGACTGTGGCAAGAACTTCCGGGAAAGGGGACACATGCTGAGGCAGCCAGCGCATCCACAGGCCCGAGAGGGCCCTTTGCGTGTGGCGGACTGTGGGAGGCTTCATTTATAAGTCTAAGCTTGCAGAGCACATTCAGGAGTACACACAAAATCCTGTCTGTCCAAATGAACTGGACATTAAGAAAAGGCTCAGCCAACTGTTTGCATATGATAGAGGCCGACTGGAGTTGAGCAGGAGTGGGACATCCAAGCGTTGAGCAGGAGTGTATTGCCGGGAATCCACCCAACAGTAGCAGACCTGCTGGTAGACGGGTTTTAGGAGCAGGTGTCCTTCTTTTGGCAAGAGTGTCATACAAGTTAGGAATATGAGGAACCACAAAGGTTTCTCTCGGAACATTTACCAATTATAATTTCTTTTTTTTTTCCAAGACGGAGTCTTGCTCTGTAACCCAGTCTCGGAGTGCAGTGGCGTTGATCTCCGGCTATATTGGAAAAGAGCAGGCATTATAAAACAAGGACATAAATAATATGAAAAGCACGGCATCTGCAAACAAAAGAATTTCTACGAGGTTATATGTGATTGCTAAAAAATTTTTAAAAAAGTGCACACAGAAATCCAGATGAGATGTGATTACCTTTTTGTATTTATATAAAAATATATCTGTGTAATTACAAAGAAGTTCTGACTTTTTTTATTTTTATTTTATTTATTTTTTTTTTGAGATGGAGTTCTGGCTCTGTTGCCCAGGCTGGAGTGCAGTGGCCAGATCTCAGCTCACTGCAAGTTCTGCCTTCGGGTTTACGCCATTCTCCTGCCTCAGCCTCCCAAGTAGCTGGGACTACAGGCTCCGCCACTCGCCGGGCTATTTTTTGGTGTTTTTTGTGGGACAGGGTTTCACGTGTTAGCCAGGATGGTCTGGGATCTCCTGACCTTGTGATCCGCCCGTCTCGGCCTCCCAAAGTGGCTGGGATTACAGGCTTGAGCCACCGTTCCCCGGCCTAAGTTCTGACATTTTAAAAAGTGATTGTTTATAAAAGTAATTTAGGTCAGGCACAGTGGCTGATGCCTGTAATCCCCAGCACTTTGGGGAGGCCGAGGGCGCAGGAGGATCACGAGGCCAAAGGAGTTTGAGACCAGCTTGGGCAACATGGCAAACATTATAATGATATTTTCTATAGAATGGCAAAAATTATATAAAATACTAAAATACAAAAAATTAGCCAGGCATGGTGGTACACAACTGTAGTCCCAGCTACTCGGGAAGCTTAGGGTGGGAGATGCCTGAGCCCGGAGAGGTTGAGGCTGCAGTGAGCAATGACGGTGCCACTGCATTCAGCATGGATGACCATAGGCATGACACCATCTCAAAAAAAAAAAACAATTTAGTATCTCCCAAAGGAAGCTTGGTAAGTCTTTTTCTTTTTTTTTTTTTTGAGACGGAGTTCTCGCTCCGTCACCCGGGCTGGAGTGCGGTGGCCGGATCTCAGCTCCACTGCAAGCTCCGCCTCTCCGGGTTACGCCGTTCTCCTGCCTCAGCTCCTGGAGTGTAGCGGGACTACGCACCGCACCTTGCCAGCTAGTTTTTTGTATTTTTTTAGTAGAGACGGGGTTTCACCGTGTTTCTCCAGGATGGGTCTCGATCTCCTGACCCATGATCCGCGTGTCTCGGCCTCCCAAAGTGCTGGATTATAGGCTTGAGCCACCACAGCCCGGCGGTAAGTCTTTTTCATTCTTTTAGGATTTATAGAATATAGCCTGGCATGTGGCTCACACCTATAGTCCCATTATTTTGGGAGGTGAAGGAGAAGGAGGGATCACTGAGGGTCGAAGTTCAAGACCAAGTCTGGCCAACATGGTGAAACACCATCTCTTAACAAAAGCCACAAAAAATTAGCCAGGCATGGTGGCATGGCACCTGTAGTCCTCAGACTATGGGGAGGCTGGTGAGGCAGGGAGAATTGCTTGAACCTGGAGGTGGAGGTTGCAGTGAGCTGGCATTGCACCACTGCACTCCAACTTGGGCGACAGAGCAAGACTCCATCTCAAAAATATATAGAATTTATAATTAATATATAAAGATATGGAATAATTTATAATTATAAATTCCTTTTTTTTTTTTTTTTTGAAAGAGACAGAGTCTCTGTCACCCAGCCTGGAGTACAGTGCATGATCATAACTCACTGCAGCCTCCACTTCCCAAGCTCAATGATCTTTTGTCTCAACTCCCGAGTAGCTGGGACTACAGGTGTGTGTGCATCACATGCCACCACGCTGGACTAATTTTTGTATTTTTTGTAGAGACTAAAAATACAAAATGTTGGCCAGGCTGGTCTTGAACTCCTGACCCTCAGGTGATCCAACACTT